TTAATGTAGATTCTGAAACCAGCCCTTAGTTTGAAAAAGGTTTTAATTTTGGCCCCCTTTTGTAAGTGGGTTTGACAGCCCTGTCCCGCGACCCGAAAAGGAAGAAGCGGTTAAAGATAATGAATGGATGGATGGAATGCTAACAACTGAACATTCGTCACAACCAAATTACATTAAATGGCCTTAACCCTTTAAAGTATCACCATAACAGATTTTAATAGTTAACGTAAATCACATAACATTAAAAAAATTACATTTAATTTAATTGGTTTTATTATGAAAATGATGTTGATGTTGTGATTTGTGGCGAAAACAGGGAACAGGTGGAAGAGAACTTGGAGAGGGGAGGTATGCACCAAGAGGAATGAAAGTCAGACATATTAAGACAGAGTACATGTGTGAATGAAGGGGAGGCCGGTGGAACAGTGAGGCTACAAGGAGCAGAGGTCACAAAGGTGCAGGACTTCAAGTACTTGGGGTCCACCGTCCAGGAAAATGGGGAGTGTAGTAAAGAGGTGAAAAAGAGAGTCCAGGCAGGATGGAGTGGATGGAGAAAAGTTTCAGGAGTGATTCTCCACAAAAGAGTGGCAGCAAAAGGTAAAAGGAAAAGTTTACAAGACAATTGTGAGACCAGCTCTGTTGTATGGGCTGGAGACAGAGACATGGACAAAAAGACAGGCAAAAGAACTGGAAGAGGCAGAAATTGAAATTGACTTTTCCAGGACATCCTTGTGAAAGAGATCGATGATCTCAATGGATTTCTTCCTGGTAAAATAAAGGTATAAAAAAATTTAAAAAAAACAGATGTTGAGGTTCTCCTTAGGAGCGACAAGGATGGATAAGATTAGGAATGAGATCAAAGGTACAGCACAGGATTGAACAACTGAGAAAGTTAGAGAGGCCAGACTGAGATGGTTTGGACATGTCCAGAGGAGGGACAGTGGGTAAAATGGTAGAAGGATGTTAGAAATGCAGCTGCCAGGAAAAAGACAAAGAGGAGATATATGGATGCAGTTAGAGAGGACATGGAGGTAGTTGGAGTGAGGACAGAGGATGCAGAGGACAGAGTGAGATGGAGGAGGATGACTCGCTGTGAAGACCCCTGAGGGAAAACCTGAAAGAAGTTTTATTATGAAAACAAGAGAAAAAAACAACAGCTTTACTTGGTTCTGCAAAGTTTTTACAAACAATGAACAAATTGATTTTGTAATTTAATGTTTGATCTTTTCAAACAAGACATATGCAGTAACTGTCTAAATATCGTATATAACAGATTAAGATGTTCATGGTGCTGGGAAACTTTTAGTGCTAATCCTGGTTATCATCACAGCTACAGCGTGCACTCTCAGGACATAATTACCTGCAGTGTCCCCTCAGTGAGGACTGAACTCGGCTAAAGGGTCTTCTACTCTGCTCCAGTTTCCTGGAATATCTTGCAAAAAGATCTGAACCTCTTGACCTTGACCTCTCTAAGTGGCTTTAAACATCTGTTAAGTTCCTGGGAAATACCAATGCAGACATGTTCCTGTTTTATTTTTAGTTTTCTACATCACCTTACAGCCTAGCTGCTTTTCTTTTGTTTTTTAGTACCATTTTATTTCATTTGTTCTTCTCAATTTGTATGCTTTATTTTACAATCGTCTACGGTTGTCATCATTCTTTGTTAAAATCTGGTCCGTCTTGTAAATGAGTGCTCGATGCTCAATGGGACTAACCTGCATAAAGGATGAATGAATTACAGTTCTCAGGCATTTATTTAACAAATGTTTCAGGATGTTGAGATATTTTTTTTTTCTCTTGGAAAAATCAAATAAAAGGGAAAATAATTTGGTATTAAAGGTCATCAATACAGATCTCCAGATCAATTAACTCAACTCTGGAAATGTATTGAATAAATCATTTAATAGTTTGTTTCTGGAAAAGGTTTTTGCAAATTCTGCCAAACATAAACTCCACGTGTCAATGAATATGACTTTTGTAGAGATTAGTGTTTAGAAAAACCTCTTCAATGCGAGTCACCATCTTCACCAAGTGGCTTGTTAGCAAATGTCCTTATGTACAATATACTGTTTATGAGCTTATACCAATAACTGAGGACCATTAAAACAATGATAACTTGTGTTTCACTCATCTCTTTAATCAAACTTTATGGCTTGTTTGATGTAGATGTTCTGGATTGAAAAGCACATTGAGACTCATTTTGGTAAAATTTAATTTTTGAGAACAATGAAGGAAATAAAGGCCTAGTTTTATTGGACTCCATGTCTCAAAACAAAGTGCAAACGACCCCAATCCCAATTTTGATGTCTTGAGATAATTTCTAGAATTTATTATTTTTTTTCTTCTTCTTCTTTCGGCTGCTCCCTTCTTCAGAGATCACCAAAGCGAATTAACTCACACGAAGACTTGGCAATTGTTTTTACGTCAGATGTCCTTGCTGACACAACTGCAGACCACCGAGCTACCACAGCCCTCTGTGTGGAGCAGAGAGCTTGGGCACCTGGGTACTGCAGCAGATGGGGGGGGGGGGGGGGGGGTTAAGGGCCTTGCTCAGGGCAGGTGTTTCACCTTTCCCACACTTTTTGATTTTGTCAGTCCGGGGAGTCATAACGGCAACCTTCTGTCACCGGCTCGTCCTCTCTAACCCCTGCAACACCACTCCCCCATTTCCAGAAATAAACTTTAAAAATGAGTGCTAACAAACCATCTTTGCCATAGTTGCTACAAAGTAACAAATAAAATTTTGATTTTTGTGACTTTGGTCTTGTTGATTGGCCCAATAGCATAAAAGTCAGCCAAAATAGTCACAAGTCATTATTAGTTTGTATGTAGGGACCGAAAAGTCAGGAAAACACTGCTATAGAAGACACTTTTAAAACATACTGTTCTTAATTTGGTATTGTTTTATCAAAAGTCTTCAATAACCCTCTGAGACTGACACCAATTGAAGACATACCAAACCACTTTATTTATAAAGCACTTAAAAACAGCAACAAGGCCAACCAACGTGCTATACAGCAGAAACAAACAAGTAAACACACGACAAAATACATAAATCCACAGCCGTAAACATAAGAACTAAATGACTAAAATAATAAAAACACAGTGAAGTTAAATCAACTCATACCGTTTCGAAAGTAAGAATAATGGTGAGTTTTTAAACGAGACTTAAAAACGGTGAGAAGGGGAGCCTGTCTGACATGCAGTGGTAACTCATTCCACAGTTTTGGACCTGCAACAGAAAAAGCCCCGTCACCTCTGAGCTTAAAACGAGTTCCTGGAACCAATAGAAGCATCTGGTCTGCTGAGTTCAGTGCACTGTGGGGCATATGGCTGCAGCAGATCAGCGAGATGAGAGGGCAGAACGGTTCAGAGATTTAATTTAATTTCCCTCTGGGATTAATAAAGTATTTTTGAATTTGAATTGAATTTAAAAAAAAAAAAAACATACAAAAGGATTTTTAAATGAATTTGAAAGTTAATCGGGAGCCAGTGCAGGAAAGCCAGAACTGGAGAAATGTGCTCTCTTTTAAAAAAAAAGTCAGGCTGCAGCATTTTTGACCATTCATTGAAGCCATAAAAAGCAACAAAGTCCAGAAGTAATTTTTATTTTTCAGAAGAAAAAAAGCCACTAAGCTCACATAATAGCTGCTTATGAAACTGTGGGTTTACAAAAAAGCTGCCATTGTCCACTGCAAACTGGTTCATGTTATTGAACTTTGAGTTGCTCTGCTTTAATAATTAACAACTATTGATTAGAATGAAAAGTTTGCTGTAAAAAAAAAAAAAGGACTGGTTTTAAACAATTGATGCTGGTTGAAGACAATATTATGCTTCATCAATGGGAAATGTATAAAAATTGATTTATCAAAAATTATTGTACAGAATCTGATACAAATACTAGTTGGTAATTTTCCCTCATATTGTGATCCATTTTTTTTCTTTACAAATTAAAATATGCAGAAACTAAACTCAAAATTTCACAGATTTTACTCACTGGAAAATAAATTATACATCCAAGTGTTTTCAAAAAGGTACATCAATATATATATA